GCAGTCTGGTGGCAGCATAAATCGTAACTCCCTGAAATGGGGCACGAGCATAACTGCGTATACGGTCGGTGATACTGTCGGCCGTTGGAGAGCTCTGGCCTGGACAATAATGGCCGACGCGCAACCCTGTCCTAGGGCCAGTCGGTCATGGCGGCCAGTAGGGCGGCAGCGGAAATGCAGGATACGACCCACCTTATTTGCGCCTAGTATCTGCAACCGTCGGCAGGCAGCACAAAGATGTTCCCTCTGTGATGGTTTGTCAGCAAAGGGAAGGGTGCAGTTCGTGGGGCGCCGCCGCCTGTAGTCACTTCCACGTCAGTGCAATGTCTGGCCGACCGCTAGGTGTCACTGGGTGTTTCATATGAGTCATGGGTTCACACGATGCCGCCGCCGAGTACCTATACGGGCGTTTGCGGCGCCGATGTGTGTATGGCTGTGGGCCTCGCCGTTCTAATGAATCTTACAGTCTCATCCGATCCAGTAAGGTGCCACATCGCTATGGGCACGGCAAAGTGGCCATCGGCTTGCACTTGCCGGATTGGGCACTCACAGCATAGAGCAACGCTTTAATTCGGACAGATTCAATTTCAAAGTCTGCCGTTTTCGAATTCTAGAGGGCTAATGCACATGAATACCCCCTTAGAATTTGTGACGTCAACGCAGATCTAGCAGTTTTGAAATCGTATACTAAAACCTTGGTAAGACAATTGCTGCTGTAGTGATATATACTGGTTTACGTGCAACATCTGCCGCACTTTTGCAATACGAAATTAATGTTTCCAAATGACGTAACAGGAGCCCTGTTCAAGAGTCTGCGACCGCCGCGGTTCCCGCAGCCAAAAAGGCGGAGTTTTATCGGCCAATCAGGCGAGAGCTTCTGGGTATCGCGTACCTCTTCCTGCGGCCGCGAGGGAAACTTCGACATAAATTGCGCGCATGAGACAAAGCACTGCGGGTTTCACTCCTTGCTTATATTGATTTTATGATGCTGTTTCGAAATACTGGCTTCAAAACGGTACTTATTGATGTGAATAAGCCATTGACCAAATAAGTGATGAAATTTATTAATTGAAAACAAACAAATCAAAAACTTTTTCATAAATCAATACATATGGAAAGGTAGGTACACTATAGTACTTTAATCAATTATGAAAAAACTCTACATAGAATGATATATGGTTGTTCATGGCTAACTCGTGGAAGATCAGCAATAATTTCTTGTTCATGTGTTTCTTAGATATTTAATAGCCGTTTTCACGACGGCCATCTGGTACACCTTTCGTGCACGCGAGCAACACGCGAGGGAAAGATATTTATCTATATAGAAAGATATTTATATTCAGGGGCGTCGTTTTGTATAGGCCTGGTAGGGCCCGAGCCTTACCAATGTTTATTTGGGCGCTACCAATGTTCGCTGAGCCCTACCAATCTTTTGTCACTTATCAGTTGATAAAAAATCAAAATAAACAGATAAGTAAATATTAAATAAGCACATATGCAAGTACATAAATAAGGTTCTAGCCACAGTAGGTGCATGTAGCTGACAATGAGGTTTCACGTGTCTAGGACTCCGGTCCTTAATGGATTTTAAGAGGCTCGAAAACGCAATTGGTTATAGAGGTCCATAACTGCCTCTGAGTCCCGCATACCACGCGACCGCCCCTAATAGACCCCGATCCGTCTCCACACCAGCCGCTGGAGGCCCTACACCGACTTCGGAAGGTGCCGCGGTGCTCCAGAATAGGCCATAGGTATATTGATTTGAGTGGGTGATGCAGCCTGATTCCCCAAGGTTCAACGCCAGGTCATTACCGCATCAGACCCCGAAAACTGAAGCTCGTAACTACGAGGGGCGTTCAAAAAGTTTCGGGCCGAACAATGAAGGAGTTGGAATTTTGGCCTGCAAGGCGTGTGTTAAATGATGTGTTATTGGGATGTCCACTTACGCAAATTAAGTAAGTGGCCATTAATTAAGTCTCTTCTGTGATTGATTCGGGCTTCTATTCGTAGCATAGTTCGCCATTTCGGATAGGATGGGCGACGCCCAGAAGAGAGCAGTGATTCGTTTCATAGTAGTTAGTGCAGAAAAGGCACCAAGCGTTAACCCTCGCCCTGGGCATTTTTCATAACACGGCCTGGCAGGGGGGAGGGGTCGATGCGACCCCCCTCCGCTCGTCAACTTTCCAAAACAGGGGCACACAATTGATGATGTGCGTCCATTCGATAAACATCGAGGAGAGGCTATAGGGAAGCTGACGTAAAGTGTGCACCTGATCCGCGACCACGCACCTGCGTACAATGTACATGGGCGGGATGACGAACAGTGAAGCGATGAGCTTCGAGTTGTTGTCGCATCCACTTTTTCTCTCCGAACCTTGCACACTCTGGTTAGTGGTTGCCACCTCTTCCCCAACATAAGAAAATTAGCAGCGGCAACCTCGCTAACAGCAGGGAGACGAAATCAGCCGTCTTGGACGTGCAGGATGGGTCCAAACCCACTTGGTTATGGAGGCCTTGAGGGCTCTCGCGAAGCGCTGCGCGAAATGTGTTTGTCTTAACGGTGTTTATTTTAATAAATGAACTTCTTGGTCTAATGAGTCGATGCTGTATCTCTCTGCTCCTTCATGGTCGGGCCCGTAGCTTTCTGAACGCCCCTCGTACTGTCATCCTTTTATTTTGGCAAGCAGGTCTTTCTAACTATCGTTGTGTTTCCAGTCCTTGTTAGTTGTCGAACCCTTCAATTGGCGTGGGTCTTCAAAACCGTTCCTGGCCCCGCAGCCGTCTTTTTTAGTCGGCTTGGGCCCTCATAGCTGTTCCTGTCCCCTTTCAGCACAGCCGTCCTTTTAAGTCGATGTGGGCCTCTTTCAGAATGGCGTGCATTCCTCCGACACTATTGCCTATATAACTGCACGTTTTGTGCATGGCGTCCGGTGTGGACCCAGATTTTCAAAGTTTTTTTTTTGTGTGTTTTTTTTAGATTTCGGTTAGTCTTGTCAATGACCAGGGCGAAAAATAAGTGGCCGAAATCCGATGAGAAAGGCAGATTTGGGGGTACCCTACCTTGTAAGCCCCGTCATATATGGCCAGCCGCCGCCTTGGGGCACTACCAATCATTTTCGGAAAACGACACCCCTGTTTATATTTATCTATAAATATCTAAATGCATTTATCAAAAAAAAAAATATCGCTCCTTCGTCGCTCAGTTTTGCAGTAAACCACTTGGAAAAGATAACCTCATATAATATTTTCCACTCAGAGCCATGAAGAACCCTCTATCGGTATCTATTCACGTGGGTAATCACCACTCGATATCAAATCAAATCAAGGATAGGTACATGACGCTCACAGAGAGCAGCTATAATTCAGGCCAGCCAACATTCGGAAAAATACACGCGATTGCCTAGCCATTGAATCACCTTGGCCTTTGATTAACCTCATCTTATCAATGCCCGTCGTATATTATGGCTCATCAAATTGCATCGCAATTAATGCTCATCAATGACAAACGCACCTTTCAAGTCCGTTATCACGACCTTCAAACTTAGGTGAAGCTGAATCTTTAGATCGGCTCATTCGAATGAAGTGTTTGTCGAAGTTCTGTATATCACAACACATTATAAAGTCCCTAATCTCGCAGGAGAACTTTGGCATGGTAAAATACCTCCACTTTCTTCGGAATGCTTGAGACGAGAAACTAACATCTCAACTCAAGACGGGGACGGAAGTCCGACAACTAACATCAAAATACCTCCACCATTGTCTACCTATGGAGACACCAGCACTAAGCACACACACCCATGAAAAAGTGTACGTAGCACCCTGTGTTCGTATCATAGATCGCGCCTGCCCAAAGGTCACAGATAGCGAATGATCTCCCAGACGATCGCGATAGTTTCCCTGGCGACCGAGACAATGAACCAGGATGTCTCACGGGCCCCAGTGGCACCGAAATGGCACGTAGCAACACGCAGACGGCTAAATGTGGAACATGTCCTGTCATTCAAACATTCAACACCAACAACAACAACAAAAAATCAGGTTCGACGGAAATATATATTGCTCGTGCGTTGTTCTAAAAAGATCGTTGATTGACGCCAAATTGTGTTTGAATCGCTACAGCAAAACATTTGATTCTAAGCCACATTCTTGTTATTTGGTTTGAGTTGCCTCAAATAAAACTTGAATATATGCTTAAAATCATTCTCAAGTTAAACAAGTAGCGATTTGCCACTGAAAGTCTGATGATATGCGGGCAGCCGAACTCAGAACGAACCAACATGGTGACAGTACAAGCTGTACCGGCCTGGGCAAGTTATTCGGAGACATCCCGAATTCTCTTCCCCATGAACCATTGTCTGTTATTACTTGTTTACGGTGAAGAGGCGCAGAGACGGGCAGGCACATGGGGCACCCACCGGGAGGGCGAATGCTGACGGTAGCAACAGTAGTGGCGGAACACCTTCAATTAAGGGGGGACACTGCCGACTTTTGGTCCCATTCTTTCCATGCAATGCCCATAGGGCTAATGTTAAAATGCAAAAATCAAAGGAGGGCACGGTGCCCCGGTGCCCTGCCCTCCCCGTTCCGCCGCCTATGGGTAGCGACATTCTAATAGGGGACCAACTACCACCTATGGTAATGAGCAGCTCAAAGTGACATTTTGTGCAGTTCAGTAGTAATCGGTAGAAAAAAGTTCGAGCCCAAAACAAGACACTAACGCAGTGACAAAGGGAAGACAGTGTTCGACGATGAACAAGTGACACCTAAGGAAAGAAAATTAAAGGATCTATGGGAGCAAACGTGACACAACCTATTACCTTTTAACAAATATTCTGTGAATTCATTGCACCGTTTTCTTCGTCTGAAGCGTTGGAGGTAAAAAACACCCTAGGGGTGTATGCTATCCCAACTGATCTAAGATTTTACAATTTTGACGGAGACTTTCTCGCATTTCCCACAGTCCGACTATCCTCTCTCACCTCGTCCTGAAACCCACCTACCTGCGAGTCGGACACCTCCTTGATCATCTTGTCGGAGCCGACGGCGTAGATGGTCTTAAGCGTCGGCGACACGGCCGTGC